CTAGTCTAGTCTAGTCTAGTCTAGCCAGTCTAGTCTAGTCTAATCCTCGAGTGGTAGAGTAGAGTGGAGCAGAGCAGAGTAAAGTATAGTAGGTCTAGGGTTTAGGGTTGGGCTTTGCCTGAAATGGGGACGAGCAACCTGCGACCAAGACCTGGGTTTCTTACATATGTTCACGCCTCGTCAAGTGAGTGAGGTTTGAGGGGCACCCTAAGCCCCACGCCGCGAACCTGCGGACCCTAGCAGATTTCAAGCTTTCCCCAGCTACTATAGAGCCCAAACCCAGGTTGAAGAAGGAGAAACGCTCACCTCACGCCTGAACCCCGGTGAACCCCTAAACCCTAAACCCTGANNTAAGCCCTGAGCCCTAAGCCCTAACCCCCAAGCCCTAGGCCCTACGCCTTAAGCCCTAAGCAGCCGCAAGAGAGGCCAAAGCCCCTCATTCCCAAAGCCCGGAGGATCCCAACAGCAGCCGCGAACGGTCCCATCCCAAGAACCCCAAGAGCCCTAAAGTTCCCCCGGGGTTTAGGGCTTAGGGTTCAGGGCTTAGGGTTCAGGGTTTAGGGTTTAGGGTTCAGGGTTTAGGGTTTAGGGTTTAGGGATGATTAGGGGTTTAGGGTTCTCTAAACCGTAAATAAGTAAACCCAAGAGCAATCAAGGCTGTCGCGCCACGCCTCTGCACCACTGCTTCCGGCCCCTGCCGGCGGCGCCGTGGCGTCCCCGACGCCGGAGACGTCGCGGGCACCTGCAGGGGGTTTTGGGGTGTGGATGCGGTTTTTTGGCGTCTGAGAAGGGTTTAGGGAGTCTTGGGTCCAGGAGTGGGGGAGCTCCGCCATTTCAGCTGTTTGAGGCTGCCAACTCGCTTGCTGACTGATAGATTCGATTGGCTTAGTACATCTAGGACATTTTCAGGTGGGCACCCATTTTTTCCTTTAATAGTTTTTCTCTCAACCAAAACCCTCCTTTTTGCCCTAAGCCGTGTTGAAAGGCCGTCGGCACGCCGCTGGTCTGCGCTGTGCCCGCCTCCGCTCGCTACGAGACGATGCATGCCACAGGGCCGAGACACAATCGAAGGTTGTATATAGGGGCCTAAATAAACATTAACCTATACTATTTGTTTGGGGGTTCCGTATCATAATCATAGTACAATACACCCCAAAACCTGGTTCTAATTATTAAGGCCCTTAAGGACTTTACATTAGGGCTTTAGGGGTCGAGGGGTTCAGGGTTTGGGGGTTTAGCTGTTCGAAAATTTAGCGACCCGGCCCTTCAAGCAACAACGACATGATGTAAACTGTTGTCACCTCAACTGGTAAAGAACATTACAACCTTTTGCAAACGATCACAAGACGCGAGATGCTACCATACACCGCTTCAAGCGCAAAAGCCTCCAAAGCTTTGAGGGAAATGTAGAAGCCTAAATTTATTTACTAATACTATTTTGGGCTTGAGAGGTTTAGGGTTGGACGTGATCCTTCTTTCGATTTGCGGCTTTGAATACCACAGTCTCAGGTCACCACTCGGCTGTCACGGGTGTCATTGACGGACTCGGTGTCGGGAATACGGACTCCCGTTTCGGCAAGGCTCGCTCGCTTGCACTTGCCTGTCCCACTAGCCTCTTGCCCTTGCAGCCTCCAGTTGCATGTACGAGAAGTGTGTGTGTGTGAGAGAGAATGATATATATATGTATATATATATTCCATTTAATTTATCAATTAAGTAACTGTTTATTTTTGCATGTGTATATATAGATATATGCAAATATGTATTGACAGCTGACAGCATCGACCTCAGCAATTGAACGAGCGCCTCCCTGAATGATCCTTGCTCCAGATTATGCGGACCCTCACGAGTTGGATCCGTCGCCGTTGAAGAGAACAGCACTACATGTGTGTGTGTATATGTATACATGTACATTTTCTTTATTTCATGCTATGTCATGTAGGGTTATTTTGTGTGTATGTATAGTATAATATAAACTTAGATATAAGTATATATATATATATATAATGTGTATATGTATATACATATATGTGCTTGCGTGTGTTTATGTACAGTTTAACATGTAGACACTTGTTTTACATGCGTGTCAGTGCTTCTCTTGAAGCACAGGTCCTTCGGCACGCCACCGGCCGGAGGCGTGCGCTCACCAAGGACTCCCCTGACGGCACGATCTGCCGCGGGGGCAGCAGATACCAGACAGACATAAAACTAGTGAAGCCACCCTCAAATGCGAAACCCAAAACCTTTAACCCTGAACCCCAAACCTTAAAACCCTAAACCCGAAGCCTTCAACCCTTAACCCAACACCCAAAAGCAAAAACCTTAAACCCTAAACCCAGAACCTTAGACCCTAAACTCTACACCCAAACCTTAACCCCGAAACCCAAAACTTCCCAAAACCCTAACCCCTAAGCCCAAAGCCTTAAACCCCTAAACCCCCAAAACCCAAAACGCTGAACCCCTAAACCCGGAGCTTTTGGGGTCTCCTGTCAGAGTCTGAGGGTTGGACCCGTTTAGCCTTAAGCCACAGCATTTAGGGTTGAGGGTTTAGGGTTGAGGGTTGAGCGTTTAGGGTTTAGGGTTTAGGGCTTAGGGTTTACCACAGCATGCCAAGGCCCTAAATGCCATTCCTGATCCCCGAAAACACAGCCGTAAGCCAGCACTGAGTCGCAATCGGTTGCTGGCTCTGCGGGCTTTACAATACTTCCATACCGCTTGTATCAGATGTCGTAAGGGTTACTACAAGGGTTGCTAAGATTCTATCAGGGTTGCCATATGGGTTGCTGAGGCGAAGATCGCCTCGCCTATGTCCCGGCGTGTGGAAGAGCCGCAGACGCCAGAGCCGAACCCGCGCGACCCGGCCCGGAATTTTTTGTGATGCTGGCCAGGGAGTTTTCAGGCTCACCCCCCAAAACGGCAAATATGTATACTTATCTTCGGACTCTAAGGTCCAAGGCAATATTGCCCACTACCCTAAACCCTAAACCCTAAACCCTAAACCCATTACCCAGGCCATTAGATAAGCTCCTGGTGCCGAGGACCTGCCCGCAGTCGAGCTCGTCGTATCTCCTGTCCAATGCCACACTTCCTCCGAAGGAAGTCCCGAACCCTATAATGTTCGTGATCAGGATCCCAGAATATAGATGTGTCTAAATTTTAAAAAAGAAACTGAGAGGGTTTAGACTTTAGGGTTTAGGGTTTAGGCTAAATTTAAAAAAAAACTGAGAGGGATACAGGTAGACCGTACAGTTTGAAGCCCCTTGCTTCGCCGGCGTAGGTTACCTGGCGCCAGCGACGCCCTTGCGCGCCTTTGCCATTGCAGCAGAGGACCTCCAACTTTGACTCTTGAGGGGTCTGGGCAGGATTTTGAGTGCTTTTTTTGGGTTACCTTAAACCCTAGGCCCTAAACCCGAAAAGTTGGGGGGCGTGCGGTTCAAGGCTTTGAAATGGAGGGTTCAGGGGCGGAGGGCTTCTGTCCTATTGAGCTTTCCTCGACTTTCTTGGAATTCGGGTGTAGGGTTGGGGAATCAGGGCAGACAAACAAGAGATGCGAGACCAGTTGGGTCCGTTGGCAGATAGCATGCGAGGGGATGAGTTTCCAGGGAACCTCACGGACATACGGACATGCTAGGAGGGGTTACGCACACAGTCTCAATGCCCTGAAGCAAGCCATTGCGGGGAACTTCCGTGAGGAACTGGATAATATCCCTCATAGCAACCGGTTTCGGAACTCCTTACATCGAGTCACCGTAACCGCAGTTCCGTATAAAAACCCGTAAGGCCCTTGTAGTACCCTTATTAATCCAAATGAAGCCCAACATAGCCCCTATGTCCCTTAACACTGCAGACCCTCGTGTCTAGGACATTTTCAGGTGGGTAGTTACCGTAATAGGAGCCTTATAGAAGGACTATATACTTTATAGAAGCCTTATAGAAGCCCTATATACCCTAAACTCCCCATCTGTAGTTTCCTTTAACCAAAACCCTAAACCCTAAACCCTAAACCCTAAACTCCCCATCTGTAGTTTCCTTTAACTCGTACAAGTCAGTCGAGGAGGGCCAGGGAGGACCCTGCGCCGGCGAGGCCTCCCCGCAGAAGCCGCCTATCAAGGCCCCATGCCGACAAGCCTTGGAATGTATTTTCGGGTCTTTGGTGTAGGGTTCAGGGATTTTAGGGATTTTAGGGTTTAGGGTTTAGGGTTTAGGGTTGAGAGTGTTGTGTTTTTGTTAATTAAGAAGCTTAACATATGTCCATATGTCAAGTAAGATCTTCAGTAGAGGTTTTTGCAAGGTTGTTTGAAGGTATGAGAGTTAAGAGGTAACCGGGCAATGGGGTAGTAGTACGGTAGTAGGGTCTTGGGTCAAGATGAAACTTCTCTGTACCCATATGTATATATATATATATATGTGTGTGTGTGTGTGTGTGCTCTGCTTGAAGAACAAAGCCAGCAAGTGTCTGAACAGCCCGGCGGACGGCACCCGCAACTACACTCCACAACCCCAAATCCTAAACCTTGAACCCGAAGCCCGCAACTCTGAGCGCTAAATCAGCACTGTCAAGCTGTTGCTCCTCGCGCTGGACATATTTATTTCTCTTGCCCAGGTCTTCAGCGAGCGTTTGCTGCGAAAAGAGGAGCTTCCTGCGCGCTTGTACCGTTTGGAGTCCTATAATTTCAACAGCCCTGAGCCTTATAAAGCCCTAAACCCTAAACCCTAAACCCTAAACCCTAAACCCTTCTCTGAATCCCGAGAGTTCCTTGAGCCTTAAACCACTCTACTCGAACTCCCCCAAACCCCAAAAGCCACCCGAAGCCGCAAAGCCCAAACCCCTAGCCCGAAAGGCCCGATAATATAGGGGCCTTAATAATTAGAGTAGGGCTCCTTTAAAGGGATCCTGATCCTTTAAGGGTTCTACAAGGGATCTATGATGGGCTTCTATAATGGGGGCCTTAATAATTAGAATAGGGTTTTGGGGCCCATTATACTATAATTATAAGAAGGAACCCCCGTATAGGTAAGTATGATAATAAGGTCCCTACATTAGAAAGCCAAGCCTCCCGTAGGGGTCCCTCTGCAGACGGATTGTACTTCCGCAGGGGGTGCTGTGCGCAAGCCCACCACCATAGAAATCACCATAGAAATGCCATAGCACCCCAGGAAAAACTCCGAAAATCTCATCAGCAGCAGCTAGACACTAAACCTTAAACCCTAAACCCTAAACCCTAGACCCCCAAACCCCCAAAACCCCATAAAAGCTCAAAGTCCTAAAAGCTCCACGCCGGGGGCCGCTTGCGGTAGGACACCATGCCCCCGATGCCCACCGGGGCCGCCCCAGTTTCCTCGTTCGCACTCAGGATTTTTAGGGATTTTAGGGCTTAGGGTTTAGGGTGTAGGGAGTTAGGTTAAGGACCGTTTGTCTCCAGGGTGTTATTAGGTAGTTTTATTTGGTTTGTGTGGGATTTTTGTACCTTTCAGTTTGGGGTTCAGGGTTTAGGCCTGGGCTTCTACTAGGCATGGTACAGGTTCTGTGACCTAGTGGTTTCTGCTTCCGGTGCTCTGTCTACCCTAAACCCTAAAGCTAAACCTTAAATCCTAAAATCCTAAACCCTAAACCTAAACCTTAAATCCTAAATCCTAAATCCCAAACCCCAAACCCAAACCTTACATCCTAAATCCTAAGCATCCGACTCTTGAAGCCCGACAATCTAATGTAGGGACCTTATAGCAATTTACCAACACTATTTTGGTGCTCCTTACCGGGCCTCAAAACCCCATTCTAATGATTCAGGCCCCTATATTGTAAGGGTTCCCACAGAGACTGAAACGACCCGTGTAAAGTCTTGTCGAACCCTGTGCAGTCTTATAAATAACAGCCCATAAAGTCTTGTAAAAGGCCAAGGGCCTCCTTTTCCTGCAATATCACCTGAAGCCCAGAAATCCTGAACATCCTATGAGGCCTTATCCTATGGCCCCGTAAAGTCCTATGAAAGCCCCACAAACCCTGAACCCTAAACTTTTTAAACCCTGGACCCTAAGCCCTAAGCCCGAAACCCTAAACCTAAACCCTAAACCCTAAAACCTGAAGCCCTCATCCATGAAACTGGCTCTTCTCAGGTTGTCATCACACTGCCCGCACGCGAGTCGAAGCAGCTCGGTTCGATTTGTGGCTTCCCTCGATATCTCCGAAGACTCCACCCCCTAAACCCTAAACCCTAAAACCCTAAAGCCCTAAACCCTAAACCCTAAACCTTAACCCTAAAGCCCTAAAACCCTAAAGCCCTAAAGCCCTAAAGCCCTAAAACCCTAAAGCCCTAAACCCTAGACCCTACACCCTAAAACTCTAAACCCTAAACCCCAAACCTCATAGAGAATGACAGAACAGCCGCCGTCGCTTCCACAGAAACCACAACACAGCAACCCGAGGCCCTCAAACCCTAAACCCTACCTAACTGTTGAGGATATAAATCCTGCATTACCATAAGGACTCTAAGCTCTGGGAAGTAGGGTATATTCCTTATTCTGGGCAATGCAGGATTTATACCAGCAGCCGTATGAGACCCTATGTATCCTGGTCTCTGCTCAGCCAGGAAGGCAAAGAACCCGGTGCCCGCACGGGCCACGGTCCCCATGCAGGGCTGCTGCAGCGCGAGCGGGAGCGGGTCGGCCGCGGGAGGGCTCTGGGCGTGGGTGGGTTGTCTGGGAGATTGGGGGGGCTTAAGGGGGTTCGGGAGTGGGGAGATAGATGAGATGAGGGTTTGTAGTAGGGGTTGAGGAATGATTATGGATCTAGGAGTTTAGGGATGCAAGGTTTTGGGAAGGCTCGCCCTAAACCCTAAACCCTAAACCTAAACCCTAAACCCTAAACCCTAAACCCTAAACCCTAAACCTAAACCCTAAACCCTACAGCTTGGGTGACGCAGCTCTTTCCGGCGGAGGCCCACGTCGCCCATCCTCTCCGCGCAGCGGGCGCCGCTGTCGCCAAGCTCCGGGGTTCGGGAGCCTCGGTCAAACACAGCGAATCCGCAGATTTCTTTAGGGTTTAGGGGGGTTTAGGGTTTAGGGTTTAGGGTTTAGGGGGGTTTAGGGTTTAGGTTTAGGGTTTAGGGTTTAGGGTTTAGGGATCCTCATGCCGGGATCGTCCACCCTTAGAACCCCCTGCGAGAGCCCATGAACTCTAAACCCGAAGCCCGAACCTGAAACCGATACAAACAATGCTTAACGCACGGTTTAGGGTTTAGGGTTTTTAGGGTACCGAAACCCTAAGTCAAAATTGAAACCTAACTTGCAAATCCCTGAGTCCGCAACCCAAGCCTTTAAATAATCCTAAACCTTGTGACGTTAAGCCCCTTACAAAGGAGGCCCCATGCCCCCCCCTAAACCCGAAACGCTCAACCCTAGCCCCTAATCCTTCACCCACACAGCCTAAACCCTAAACCCCAAACCCTAAACCCCAAACCTTAAACCCATAAACCCCATAAGCCCTATAGCCTATAAACCCTGTAGGCCCTAAACTCTACATCTTAAAAAAGGCCCCAAAGCCGCCCCACAGCCGACTTGGGAGCGAACCGAAGGCAGCGATCATCCCCGGCCGCGCCATCGCCGTGCGGCCCCCGCCCTCCACCCCGCCGAGGGAGCACCGCAAGGCGGTTAAAGTTAGGGGGGTTTTGGGGGGATTTCGAGTTTGGGATTTAGGGTTTAGGGTTTGGGGTTTAGGTTTCAGGATTTAGGGTTTGGTGTTCAGGGTTTCGCATCTAGGGGTTTAGGGCTCAGGGTTTGGGGTGCAGGTTTTGGGGTTTAGGGAGTCCACTCAGAAGAGCCGGGGCGGCTCTGACAGAGGGCAGCAAGAAGAGAGCATGTGCTCTGTAAACCTTGAGGGTTCACTCTGAACCTGACAACCCAATATGGGAGTTTCCAAAAATTAGGGTGCCTTATTTTGGGGTCCTTATAATAAGGGTCCTACTATTTAGGGTACTATATTAGGGTCCCCTGTTTCCGGAAACTCCCATATCTAAAATCTAAATCCTAAGCTAAGGCACTTCTACGATCTGGGGTTTGGGATGTAGGGGGTTTTGTGGTCCATAGATCCTGTGAGCAGAACCTCGATGCCTTCCACCTCATGATTCTCTCAGTGTTTTGGGGTACGTCTCTACTGCAGTCATTAATAGTCATTATTTAGGCGTTGTATGTATAAATGTATATATATATATACACACATACGCATGCACATCCCAGAATCATGTACTGACAAACGGGCGAAGAGGGAATATAGATCAGTTTTCGTGCTTGAACACAGCGCCTGTCGCGAGTTGCATGCATAGGAGCTTCGGAAGAAACAGCGGGCAAAGGACCTCTGAGCAAGGAGCCCTAAATTTTCCGAATGCCCATCCATCTCCTAACCCTAAACCCTAAACCCTAAACCCCAAACCCTAAACCCTTGTGGAAGGTCGCTCTTTGGCCAGGCACGTCTTGGGAGGGACCTGGGTGCCGGGGATATGGAAGGAACGGATACCCTGGCGTCCCCTTGTGCGGTCCACTTAGCCTGGGCTTCTTCCTTGCCCCAAACCCAAAAGCCCTAAGAGTTTAGGGTGTAGGGTTTCGGGCCCCAAACCCTAAACCCTAAACCCTAAACTCTAAACCCCAAGCCCAAACTTCTCAACTTCAATTAAAATTTACGCGGATAGCGAGGGCCCGAGGGCGGCTCTCCTGACTCCTTCCCTCAGTCCCTGCTCCCACACTTGCGGCTTCAATATAGGGGCCGAAGTATTAATTGCAGATATTATTCTGGGGGTTCCTTATTACAAGTATAGTATCAGGCCCCAAAACCCTATTCTAATTACTAAGGCCCCTACCTTAGGGTTGTCTGGGATCTGTAAGGGCTTCCTTCCTTTAGCTCCTTTAAGTAAGGAAGCGCCGAAAAGACATGTGCCATGCAGCAACAGATTTACACCCCTTAGGCCCCAAACCCCTAGGCACCCGACCCGAAGCCCAAAAGCCAAAGTCCCAAAAGGAGCTCTTCAAGCCTCGAACCCTAAAACCTAAACCTGAACTCGAAAGCCCCTTCAATGGCAACCCTTCGCCCTATTCTAGGGGCCTAAATAATTACCTATGGGGGCTCCTTATTATAATTATGGTATACTATACCCCAAGCCTGTTCTAATTATTAAGGCCCCAGTTATAGAACCCTATCATAGATCCCTTAAAGAACCCTTTGTCTTCCAACATATTAAGGCCCCCACATCAAACAATCGGAGCCCTTCATTTCAAAGACCCCTTGGCCCTAAACCCTAAACCCTAAACCCTAAACCCTAAACCCTCAACCCTCAACCTCGGAGCCCTTCGCCGCAACGACCCCTTTGCCCCGGCCTGGCGCCAGTTAGCGGCAGCTCCCGGCCCGTCTCGCTCCTGAGGGGTGCTGGACCTGCCCTGGCGGTGGCCTTAGAGTCTTAAGAGGTTTGCGGGCTTGGGGTTTAGTTAGGGGTTGGGGTTTGGTTGGGGGTTGGGGTTCAGGGTTTATAAGGGTTGGGGTTTAGGGTTTATAAGGGTAGGGGTTTAGGGTTTTTAGGGCCGTAAACCCAAAACCCTAGACCCTAAACCCAAACCGTGAACCCTAAAATGGGGTTTAGGGTTCTTAGATGGCGCTGCCTTCGCGGTACGGGGCCTTATAGTAACTGCCTAATGGTTTAGGGTTTAGGGTTTTGGGGGCTCCTTCTTATGGTTTATAGTAGAAGATACCCCAAAACCCTACTCTAAACGATTAAGGCCCCACATTACTGCCTGAAAGGCCCGAAGCTCTAAGCCCGAACTGGGCCTTTAATCCCTAGACTTGAAATTCCCTTGAGGAAGCCCTGGATAGTTAATGTCGGGGCCTTATAACAATTAGCTACACTATTTTCTGGGTGGTTCCTCACTATAAATATAGTATAACAGACCCCCAAAACCCCCATCATAGATCCCTTATAGAGCCCTTTAAGGATCCCTTTAACTAAAGGAACCCAATTCCAACATATTCAGGCCCCCATACCCATGCACCCGAAGCCCCGCGCTTCGCGCTAATGGCTCAGGACTTTAGGATCTTCCAGATTCTGGAAGAAGATGGGCTTCAGGTTCAGGGTTTAGGGTCCAGGAGTTAGGGTTTAGGGGAGGGATCTGCGCCCTACTTTAGGATCTTCCTGGGTTTAGGGTTTAGGGTTTTGGGTTTAGGGTTTAGGGGAGGGATCTGCGTCCTATAAGACCTATGCAAACACGCATCTTATCTAGCATCCTAGAGTACGGTATGTTACGTTTATATCACATTACTTATTTTGTGTTATATTTGTGAGCATACTCTTACAGTTGCATAAACTGTTTCTCTTAGTCTGACTCATATTCTTATTCTTGCTTCTATGCTTTATAGTAGTAAACCCTAAACCCTAAACCCTAAACCCCAAACCCTAAACCCTTATAGTAGTACATACATCAAGAATAAGATACTCTAATCTTCTTGGGTCCTTTGCGGCGCAGGTGCGGCCCCTGGACGACCCCAGAAGCTCCGTGGGCGCATCTGGGCAGAGAAGAGCCGAGTTTTCGGTTAGGGTTTTAAGGTTCAGGGTTCGGGGTTTAGGGTCTAGGGTTTAGGGTTCAGGGTTTAGGGTTTAGAGGGTTTACAAGTTTAGGATTTTGGGTTTGGGGTTTAGGGTTTGTACCCAGGCTAACTAGTACTGGTAGGACCTTTAATGGGAGGACCCCTAAACAAGGCATCCGAAGGAATAGTGCTGGTCACCTTGGTTTTTTATAAGCCCCTAGATGGATTCAGAGGATATTATAAGGTCCCATGAATAGTTTAAATAATCGGTAATATTGTGTTTTTCTTTTAGCATTCCTTACTGTACTTAGAGTATCAAACTTACCAAAGCCACAGTCAAATCATGTCTTCCTCTGCGCTAGGGGGTTTCTTTGGGGCTTGGGGGGCTTTAGCCTTGGGGCTGAAGGGGATGAACGTTCCACAGTTCGGGGTTTGTTTCGGTTTTGGGTTTAGGGTTCAGGGGATTTGGGGTTGCTGTAGGGTGTAGTGCGGCCTTATCCCTAAACCCTAAACCCTAAACCCTACAGCCCTAAACCCCAAAAGCCCTATCCCTAAACCCTAAACCCCAAAAGCCCTATCCCTAACATCTGGAAGCCTTGAGCCCGAAAGCCAAGGCTGTTCTTCGAAGCCCAAAGGAAGGCGACGTGGCGAGGCCAGCGTCGCCAGAGAGGCGGGTGAAGGGCTTTCGGGTTCTGTAAGGGTCCCATACGGATGTCTATTAAAGTTTGGATTGTGGTTTCGATGCAAATTTCCGGTTTAGAGTTTTCGGATTCCTATAAGGGTTCAAAATGGGTTTCAATAAAGGTTTCTATGTGGCTTTACCGTCTTCTTTCGGAGTGGTCCGAACCAGGATTTCAAAATGCACTTAAAGAAGGAGTGTGAATGCTTTGTTCCCCAAACCCCGTTCTAAAGATTAGGCCCTCCGTGTCTTGGTTTTCGCACTTCGGTTGCAAAACAGAAAAGTGTGGCATGACTGGGCCTGCACCCCGCGAGCTGCCACAGTGATCAGGGAGTCTCAGCGGCCAGGAGTACCACTGAGTCAGCAGTCCAGGCTCTTCCCCATCCTAAACCCTTATGCGACTGGCCCAACACTTTAAATCCGAACAGCTAGCACCTAAACCGCGTAAACCCGAGACCCTAAAAGGACCCTATACCCCAAACCCGAAACCCTATATACCCTAAACCCCGAAACCGGGACAACACCCGAAATCGTCTTAAGCTTCGAAGCCACGGGAGTCGAGGCTCTCCCCACCGGCGATGCCGTCCTTGTCGGCACCCCTGGTTCGACCGGCCTCGCCAAACAGGCGCCAAAAAGGGGTTTAGGGTTTAGGGCTTTCAGAAAACTAGGGGTAGTTCTGATATTCAGATGTCTACTAGGCCTCTGGAATGTAGGGGGCCTCAATGATTAGAATAGGGCTGTTCAATGGCTTGCTAAGTGTATTTTGGGAGTTTCTGTGGTGCAATAGAGGGGTCTGAACAACTACAAACATGATGATACACCGCAAATATTTTGTTCCACCTGTTGACCTTGTTTGGCTGCTTCCTTCTATTCGCTTAGTGGCTGAGTAGGTAACCTTTAACCTTTTTGGGGCTCTTCAAATCCTACTATAATTCAAAAGGTTAACCTTTTTTGGGCCCTAAACCCTAAACCCTAAACCCTAAACCCTAAACCCTAAACCCTAAAGGGTACTCAGCCCGTAAGTTCAAGATCGCGCGACAGGTTTATGTCCGGAGCTCTGTATCTTCAAGACACAGTTGCGCCCGGCAGCTCGCATCTGTGAGCCAGTTTTGTATCGTCTAATGTAGGGGCTTTAATAATTAATTAGAATAGGTTCTTGGGGTTTATCATGCTATAATTATAATAAGGAGCCCCAAAACCCTATTCTAGTTCTCAAGGCCCCTATAGTACAGGCCCTGAACCTCAGAACCGGACACCCAATCCCGTGGAATTCTCATGCTTCTTGCGGCTTTGGGCGCAGGCTTTCGCCAGCCGCAACCGCACGCATGCCGTGGCATGGCAGCTCATGTAGCCCGGAGTCGTGGAGACGGTGCTTCGTAGCCTCTGGGATGCTGGCTATTTATGCCATCAGTCAGAACCCTGAATGCCACCCCAAACACCCAAAAGCCCCCTGAACCCTAAACCTTTCAAACCCCTCAAAAAGCCCTAAACCCTAAACCCGGAACCCGTAAATCCAAAAGCCAGTAAGATCTGTTGCGCTGCTTCGGACGCCGAAGCTTGCAAGTTAGTGCTCATGTGCCTGAAGATCACTTACCAGTACTATTCTGCTTCCCTGAGAGGAAAGCTGGTGTCTCTCTTTCGGCCTTTGTCGCCCTGAGACCATCATCACTGGCCTTGCGTTCGTGTTGTTGATACTATGCAATCACCCGGGCATTCACTCAGGTTGATGAACCCGTGCCCGTCAATGCCGCGTCTCGCCTCCCAGACGTCCCTGACCAGCTCTCCGACAGAACGGCGGAAGGGTGTTTTGCAGGTCTTGGCTTTGGGATCTGCAGACAGTTTTAGGATTTTAGTCCGGGAGGCAACAACGACTTTTTAGGGGTTGTCGGGTTTTGAGGTTTCTTGGGTTGATGGGATTCCTTCCTGTATTGAATGGGGCAAGGCTTTCCTCGCAGACTCTCCTACTAATAGAGGGGGGGGGCCTCAAGAATTCCCTACACTATTTTGGGGGGTTCCTTCTTATAGCTATAGTATCATATATACCCCGAAACCCTGTTAGAGTTCTAGCATAATATACCCCGAAACCCTGTTAGAGTTCTAGCATAATGTACCCCGAAACCCTATTAGAGTTCTAGCATAATATACCCCGAAACCCTATTAGAGTTCTAGCATAATATACCCCAAAACCCTATTCTAACTGTTAAAGCCCCGACAACACCCAATTGCTGAGGCCCATGGTCGGGTTGTGGATTTGGGGCTGCGGGCCTTCCCTCGAATACATGGGGAGCCTTAGGGTTTAGGGTTTAGGGTTTAGGGTTTAGGGTTTAGCCCCACAGGGCTCCATGCTTTTTGCGCTCTTCTGCAGCTTTGGTGTGGGAGTGTCGGGGAGGCTCCCGGAGCTTGAACTGCGGTTGTCTTGAAAGTATGATGGAACTTATGGGTCATCGGAGGGAGCTGTCAGGTGTGCCCATGGCTTCAGGAAGCCTAGACCACTACTACTCCGTCTCCATTGCGCGCTCGAGCATGCACAACGCGGATGAGAACGAGAGGAGCAGGAACACTCATCGCCGTCGTCGTCATCGTCATCGTCATCGTCATCATCATCATCAACATCTGCATGTCATTGCTCTTGGTGACTAGCTTCTGCTTTCGGTTTACGAGCATCCAGCATTGACCAAGAGTGGTGTTTTGTCTGCTCCGAGGTTTCTATTCCGACCGCGGCGACCTGCAAAGAAGGCTGGGACTTGCACATTTTTTTGGCATTACAGAGAGCAGGAGCGAGGGTTCGGGGTTTAGGGCCTCGACTTTGGGTTTAGGCAACAACTATGCTCCTTGAAAGATTGAACAGGGGTTGCTGTCGATTTCCCTATCCCCTAAACCTTAAACCCTAAACCCTTAAACCCTAAACCCTAAACCCTAAAGCTTCTGATTCCCCCCGAGGATCCCAGCCTCGGGGCATCCTTGCGGAAAGGGGCGCTTTCCTTGGGCTCAGCTTTCTTAGGGTTTAGAGTTTAGGGTTTAGGGTTCAGGGTTTAGGGTTTAGGGTTCTGGGTTTAGGGTTCAGGTCAAAGACTGGCGGAACTGAGTTCTTGCTTCGCCTACTTGTAGGAAACCGACAAAGAGTTATCTCAGATCCAGCCAGGCGTTCGGGCCAAGACTTGGTCTCTTCGATTCCCAAGCCCTCGACTTCAGCGATCCCCAAGCCCTGAACCCCAAACCTTCACACCCAAGGCTGCCAAGACCTGAAGTCAGGTTTTGCTTCGGGAGAGAATGGGTGGGCCATGAGAAACATGCTTGTGTGGCTGTGAGCCGGCTTGTGTGCCCTCAGCGTATCTCTATCTTTGCAGGATCACATATTTGTCTTTGGACATGCGGCAGGCGATTGGTATGTACAGTTTCGCGCACCTGCACGGATCGTACAGCTTGATCTGTAATCGAAAAGTACTGCGTGCATGCCGCTAGGTTCATGGGGCATGTACGTTGAGATGCACATGCGTACGTACATACCATCCTTCATGCATGCGTGCACACATACGCATGCATACATTATGCATGCATGCATACATACATACATGCAGACATACAGACATACAGACATACATACATATATCCATGCGTCCATGCATCCATGCATGCATGTATGGACACGCACATACATACAGATACAGGCAGCTGGGCACATGCATACACACGCATACACACCGACGCGTATCTAAATATTTAGTGCAGTGTTGTCATCTATACATGATATATAGATACATATATATATATATATATGTACATGTATATGTGTGTACATACTCACATATATACATACGTTTCTGGCTGTCTGTCTGTTTGTCTGTCTGTCTTTCTGTCTGTTCGTCTGTCTGTCTGTCTGTCTGTCTGTCTGTCTGTCTGTCTATCTGTCTGTCTGTCTGTCTGTCTGTCTGTCTGTCTGTCTGTCTGTCTGTCTGTGCATATGTGTGTATGTATGAAATGTAATGAAATGAAATGTAATGTAATGAAATGTAATGAAATGTAATGAAATGTAATGTAATGTAATGGAATGG